TTGGTAGAAGGACCGAAGGGAAAAAATCACAATAAAAAAAAATTAAAAAAATTTCCCTAAACCTTTTCATATAACAAACAATTTTGTCGACTTACTACAGAAAAAAAAAATATGCGGCGGAGAGAGACTGCATAAAAAAAGTCGCACTTAGAAAATGCGTCTATTACTTAAGAAATTTATGAGGAAGCACTTCCAAGCAAAATAAATAATTAAATTTTACGCGGAAACATTTTAAAAATAGTTAACTTTTTATTGTACACATTTTTGAAGTTTTCAAAATGCACATACATAATTCACTGCTATTCGACGTAATCCAAAAAGCATCTTCATGTGATGAATTAGTTCAAAAAACACTTTGTCCCCCTTAAAGACAAAATTTCAGTTGGGTTTATTTTTTTTGGGACCAAAAAGAACGGGGATAAATGTTTTGGGCGACGGTCGGTTAGTCGGTTGCTTATTAAAAAGTCACGTAAACCAGATAAGCATGATTAAAAGCTGTTTTTGAAATTTCCCAAACCCCCTTTTTGGAATTGGTATCTATTTTAAGAAAAAGCTTTTCCAATTTTTGGAAAGCTGGGTCCCCCCGTTTTTTTATCCGCTCTTTAAAAAATGGGGTTTTTTCCGCCCTTTAATAATCTATCAAATTATTGATAAGTCAAAAGGGTCATTGAAAGTTTCGTCTTCAATCAAGTGCGTGCTACTTGCGCGTTGGGAGAAAGCAATGGTCGTGCATTGACAAGAGATAATTTATAACAAATGGGGGAAAGAGGGCCCTTTGAAGTGTACGTATTTTACATTGATAAAAAAAATTTCGTGGTGACTAAGTCGTTGGGAAAAACATGTACCCCCATAAAAAAAAAATCGCACAAAAATAAAATCTTATTAAAAAAGGGCGGCACAAAAAACAGGTTCTAGTGTACATGGTTTTTGCTTATTTCCTACTTTTATTAAAATAATTTTCTTAAGGAATTGAATGATTATATACATAAGTATAGTCTTTAATTTTTATGAGGAAAGAAAAACCCCCACAAAACACACAGGGAAAAGGGGTTTAACTGGCCCCCTTTTAACTTTAACAGTAGGAATTTTTTTAGAGAGATTTGGGAAAAGGTTAAAAAAATTTAAAAAGAATTTAGGGGAAACAAAACATTCCGAGGCTGGGAAATTTTCCATTTTTGGGCCCGAAAATACAAAATTAAAAAAAAAATAGTAAGATTACAGAAGCATTGAAAATTCATATTAAGGCTGTTTTCGGCTAATGTTAAAGAATAAGGGCCCAAATTTGAATATTTTTTTAATAAAAAAGTACTCCCAAAAAATTATTATATTCTGGGGGCCCTTTCCGAAAAAAAACGTTTTTTTTTTACCATACTACTTATTTTATACGAGTTGACAAAATTTTTTTTAAAATGTGTTTCGCATTTTTCTTCCCATACCGTAATACTAAAAAGAGCTATCCTTTACATTTAAAAAAGGAAAAACTAATTATTTATGAAATATTTTGAAATTTTAAAAACACTATCTTATAAACAAATGTATGAGTTACAATGACAGAAATTTTTATAAACATTGAGGCATTTTTTTCTGTCCGAAAATGTGCTCCACGTTAAGTTCCCTCTTGGAAATATGGCGAAAACAACCTTAAGGTGGAGATGAGACGCGGTTTAGAACGCGACAAATCTATATTGTTCAAAGAAAATGATATGATGATTGAAGAATCTCAAAATATGAAAACAATATTATAGAATTATCTGTAATATCTTCGTGAGATTCTATTTTTTTTCTTACCGAAAATCATGTATTCATTACGTGGTCACACCAGGTAGATGAGTTTGCATTAAATTTTCCCATTTACCATGGTTTCGGAACTGTCACACATTCCGTAAGTGAATAAAACATTTTTTTATTTGAATGCACCGGTTAACATTTAAAATTGCAGAAATGGGAAGCTCGAAAATGACTTAAAACAACAGAATTTGTCTTGATTCGTGTACATTTGTTTTATCTAGACTTCAAAATAATTTAATTTTGGAAAGTATGAATTAAATGTATTTCTTTTGAACACGCAGTTTGATAATATAAAAATGCTGTTCCCTTAAATTTATGAGATAATCTCCATAATTATTCCATATCTTTTTCGGGTTCATTGAGCTCTATTCTCCCAGAGCATTTTATCAGATCTTGAAAAAAACCTTCCATGATACATGTACATGTGTAGTAAAGTAAATTTTAAGGTTGTTTTCGGTTAATGTTAAATAATAGGACCCGAATTTGGAATATTTTGTTCAGATATAAAAGAAATGAAAAATTAATATGATATTCTGGCTTCACTATACTTTAGAGAGCAGCATTTTTTATCGTACTTCTCATTTTTAACCGAGTTTATTCATTTTTTTTCTGGTATAAAAAGTGTTTCGCATTTTTTCTCTTATACCGTAATGTTAAATGGGCTTTGTCTTCACGTATTAAAACAAAGAAAATATTCACGGAATATTTTGAAATTTTTAAAAACACTATATTGTTAACAGAGGTACGAGTTATAATATTGCAAATTTCCATAGAAATTGGGTCATTTTTCTGTCTGAAAATGTGCTTTGCGTTTAGTTAGAGCTCTCGTACTTTCATCGAAAACAGCCTTAAGTAAGATACTGCATTCAACATTCGAAAAATATTAAAGTTGTTAAATGCAAAGGTGATTATATAGTTGAATACATTTATTAGAAAATAAATGATGCTCAGCTTCATGCATAATAAGTTGTATTACGCACCTTATTGAGGTTTCTTGAATTAATTTTTTTTCGGTGTTTGTTTTTTAAATTTTATTATCTCGTGCACTCGGATTTTTCCATGTCACCCGTTTATTTCAATAACACCCATGTAACCAACATGTAACAGGTTTGTGAATTTATTATGCTTTACTTCTAAAATCTGTCTGATTAAGTAGGGCTGAAGCCCGTGATTTTCTAGGCAAAAAATTCTTAAATATGACTTAGCGGGATGTGGGGAGAAATGTGATAGCTAATATGTCAATCATATCAACATTAAATGTTAATTATAATAATCGATTAAATTTTGGTAGTTCAGTAGAGTCCCGGAACTCGGCCTAAAGTCGATCGAGGGTGGTCGAGTCTGCGAAAATGCCGGGATATCGAGAATGATATAAACAAGTCATATAAAAAAAATATTTTTTAAGTCAATTCCTACTTAGATCTACAACGAAAATTTTTATTTTAGTTACTTTTTATTAAATAGTTACAATTAATATAAATACGTATATACATAGGATAGATTCACAACATTAAGTGGTAATTAGTTTTTTAATAATCATTAAAGTATCGTATTGTCCTTTTAATTTCAGTCCAACTGAATGCTTTAACACGTGAGAAAAAACCTTTTCAAGTTTTGACACAAGTCGCCAAAGGTCGCTAAGTCGCCAACGTGGCTGTATTTGTAATTTTAAATAAGTAGTTTTAATCCATTAATTTTTATTAATTATAATTAAGTTATTGTATTGTCATCCAAAATGATCCTGTATATAAAATTTCAGCTCAATTCAGCGCTTTAAAATGTATTTTATTAACGATTGAAAATTCCACCAGATAAATAAATAAATATACAAATATATAAATAAGTAAATATAGAAACAGTGCGAGCTAATAGTAGGAATTGAAAAAGAATAAGTAGGAGTGTTTCTCCAGAAAATATTTTTCTTCACTTGTATGCATTGTTTTCTTGAGAATACAACAGAAAATAACCTGCTCAAACACCCTTAAACAAAGGAAAAGCTCGTATTTTATAAAGGCATACAACATCTAATACATGAAAAATAAAAATTAAGAAATATATAGTGTATAGTAATTTACCTGTTCACAGACGCACTTCAGAAAAATACTTTACGAAAGTATAAAGCTGTTCATAATGAATTAAGGTGCCAACTTTGCAAAAACTAGTTACTTTTTTTTTAAAGCCCCTCCTTTTGTCTTCTGTGCTGGCGATTTGTGTCTTGTTGTTTATTCAGGAAGATGACAAAGGAACAATAAATCCATTACCGACGCACTTAGTTGTTCAAAATACTGAAGAGCGGTTTCGATAGCTCTTTGTCCTTCAGTATATGAATTTTAGGAGTCTATACATTGTCAACATTATCGTCTTCTCCATTTTTTGGCATTTTTTTAAACTGTGACAGCAACAATAATTTTTTGCATCAGACGCCCTTTAAGGGTGCAGTTGAGTTAACCGGACTGCCGGGTTATCGAATGCTGAGGTTTTGGAACTCTACTGTACAACCTATTTTTAATTTAAAATTCACTGCAAATATTTGATAGAAGACTCTTTTAACAGCATTTTATAAGATTCATTTGTTTGTGACGGCCTCTTTGAGCACAATTTTTAACCACTTTAAAAGATCAGGTTAATTCGAAATTTTGCTCACTTGTCCAGAACCGATGACAATACAACTTTCTTCCATTGTCTTGATCAGGATCGTCAGGATTAACGATTTACCATTTTCAGGTCCCATCCCACATCTGGCGACTAATTTCAGATACTATTTTTAGATTTGGTGACGAAAAGATTAAGTTACAACTAAGTTCAATTTTTTAACTATAAAAGAGTGTTTTTTGATTTATTTAAACCATAATTTTTCGTTTTTTTTTTTATAATGTTATACCCCAAATTTTTTATTTTTAAGCATTAATCATTCATCAGTCAGCATCATCAGTCCTTTAAAATTAAAGGACTGAAAAGGAAAAACAACTACTGTTGGTTCACTCTCTCCCTATATATATACGTAAATATCGTTCACATTTTCAATCTTTAATAAAATACGTTTTCTATTCATCCATTCAAGATCAAATAAATTTATTGAAACTTGTAGTGGATGACATTTGATGTTAATACAGTTTTTTTCAAATATTAATTCATTAATTAGATTAAAAATGAATAAATAGTAACAAAAGTAATAGTCCAAAACATATATAAACGGGAAGATTTTTCGTTGTATGCCTGCAGCGCAATGGGTGGCACGTTAGACTTCTAATCCAAGTGTCGTGGGTTCGAATCCCACCTGGCATGACCTAATTTCTGAAAATGTGATTTTTTTTACTATACTTTTTTATTAGAATAATTACATAAAATTAATGAATAAACAGCAACAAAAAATAATCCAACACCATATATAAAAAGAAAAATGGAAAATTGCAAGGAAACTATCTTTCTATTTTGTCACTTATTCTGTCATATGTATATACATATTTATATGAATTTTAATAAAAAGTAACTAAAGTAAAATTTTTCTTTGTTGACCTAAGTAGGACTTGGGTTAACTTTTTTATATTATTTACTTTTTATACTGTTTTTAAATATACTCGAAAATTATTAAGTATTAAGTTTATACTTTTTTAAAAAGAACCCTTATTATATTAAGATTATTTTTTCTTTCTCTTATATAATAATACATTTAAACCAATAAAAGTAGCATTAAGGAAAATATTTCTAGATTTAAAGTAAAACGGGTAAAAAATCCCTAAATAGCTATGCAGTAAATGGTAATAATGTAATTATCTTTCAAAAGTGCTACATGTGCCAAATTATAGAGATGGCTAGAGGTTTTTTCGTTTGCTGCCTAACACGTTTTCTCCATTAAGGTATAAAAAATATTTCCTTTAAAAAGACTTCTTGCTTACGTTATTTTTCAGAATTTGAGAGGTTTAATTTCCCTTAGTGTGTCATTAAGAGGAAAGAAACATTTCCTAAAGTTATCTCATGTTTATTTCCAATAATGTACGTTAAGTAAGAGTTTGTTCTTCGAATTTCTTACGCTAAGATTCTTCTTAAGATCAAATAAGTGTTAAGAGTTATGGAATTTTTTGAGTCAGATAAACTAAGAAAGGGAAGGACAGCAAATTATCTTTCTTATTGGATTTCGAAAGCCTCCGCACTTTTTAGATATGGAAAGAAAAATATGCTTTAATTTCATTAAAATAAATAAATACGTAGAGTTCGGTGGAATTGTATAATCTGGACTTGACTGATTTAATTCTAATAATTGCAGCTAAATAGGATACGATATTAGAAATTAAGTGGATTTAAAAACTTCATATTTTATACCAGTTGTTTTAGTAAAGAAAGAAAAATCAGCTGTGTTTCTTTATGCGAGATTTTTTTTTCTGAAGCCAATTATTTTTGTGATTATATTTGTAAAACTTATTAACATGCTTTAATGTGTATAGGTTCGTACCTTTTCCCTTTGATTGGATGGATATATTGAAAAAAACAATTTTTTTTAATAAAGAATGAGTTAACCTAATCAATCAATATAAACTATCAAAGTGTACATATGTAATATTTAACTTAAACTTCCATTCGAGGTACTTTAATTCTCCAAGAGTTCCTGTGATACTAATTAGTTTATCCGCCTAACGGAAAATAACATAGCTTCATCTCCCCAGAACTGAAATTTTAATGTTTTTAACACAGGATGATGCAATTTTGCATCACCCACGTTTTAGTTTCAATCAAAAGAGCCTTTAATGAAAATACCGAGGGCAACCATGAGGGAAGCATAATTAATTAAGGGCTTAATCATTTATATTTTTAGAAAATGTCCCATTTATTGTCCCAAAAGGTGTCGAGTGATGCCGAAAAGAATTTATTTTACTATATTAGTTTCAAAAGAGAGAGAAATAAATACTGAAGAGCATGCAGAAAGAAACTAATTTTTCTTTAAATATTATTCATTCAATTTCGAGACATATTTCTACATAAGCCTCTTATTAGAAAATAAACAAAGCTGAAAATGTTGTGGCCTATTTTAAAAGTAAGGTTATGCATTATTTGAAATAACGTTTAATACAGTACACAGAATGGTTTCGGTTAGTAAAATTTCTTTCTCTCTCTGAGTGACAATTTTAATTCGCCCTCTTACATTTTTTTTAAATACGGTTTTGAGAGGTTGAATTATACTGAAATTCAATATAGTCACAATCTCACTAAACAAGTGATTTACTGGTTTAAAAGATTTCACATATATTCCTCTTCATTTTCCTTGGAACAACTCTAGGTTTTATAAATGAAAGCTCCATATTAACGTTTAAAATAATATTTATTTACAAATTAAATTCATACATTAAATATTACAGAACAATTTTCCTGTATTATTATCAATGTGTTTTTACTATTCACCAATCCCGCAATGCGATGGACGTTAATTCTATCGAGATCTCAAATGTCCTTCTGCAGGTGTGGCGTGGAAGTTAGGAGAGGGGGAGCCAGCTCAAGTTTCGTCCTCGTCACTTGACCATGGTTCAAAATCACGAGGTCTGTCGCAAAAGCCCTCGAGTAGCTGAATAGCGCGAAGTTAATATTCACTCACTCATTCACTCACTTACAATTTACCAAAGGAGTGAACAACGTCCGACTTTTCCATAGCAGTTCATAAAAAGTATATCCTTTCATCATTTTTATTTATAGGATATAAATAGCATTTAAGTATGAAACAATTTTATATTTTAAAATATTTGTATTTATATTTGAACAAATTTAAAAAAAAGTTATATAAAAATTAAAATTCGATGTCTTTAGAAATCGCTCAAAAATTAAATTCCCAAGCTTATATAAAGTTGGCATTTATGTTTAATATGAAGGCGTATATACTTAAAGTGTCTGAAAAGACCAGTGCTTCAATTCCTGCTTCTGAGAATTTTTAACATATATTGGAAAATAAATATTTTCAAAATTTTAGAATCTTAGGAAGTGAAATAGCATAACTTTGCGGAAATTGCTTCGCTTAAAGACAGAGTTCGTTTTCTTAAAAGCAGGAATATTTCGATCCCTTCCAGCTTTTCTCTGTTTAGTATTTTTTACATCGTTTACTATAGAAAAGTGCTTCTGAGACGATGTTATATTAATGCTTATCTTGCATAAGGCTCCAGTGATTTTTCCCAGTAGTTGAGAGGGTATGTCGCTTTGCTTCTGATTCCTTTTAAGTTGTTTTTGTTGCCTTAGGTAAACTTAGAATCAGAAAGACGATATTCCTAAAAATTCATATATAGTTCCAACTTTCTGCTATGTAAATACAATGTAAAGTTGTGCTTAATTGTAGACATTGTCTTTATTTTTCTCGAGAGGTATTGTATCAAACAAGAAATTCAGATTGTTCAGAAATACAAACCATGTTTTTGGTTGTTGGATCTTTTTTGTCTCTGATTGACGTAAAAAAAGGACACGTGATACTGATTATCATTCGTTATTACGCTTAAAATGACAGCGCGCTGAAATAGGTAACAAATAAGGCTCTGTAAGAACGGAATTCAAAAGCTAGAAGTAAAATACAAAAAGTGTTTTTTAATTATTGTAAGTTGCGTTGAAATATAAATGCAGTTTAAAGCATTCGGGACAAAACACAATTGTACCTTTTTTATATCAATGTAACACTGGCTATAAAATAATTTCTCATATATTAAAACAAGTGATGCCCGATAAATAAAACAATCCAATAAATGAAAAAATGAACACACACAAAAATATGTTTTTTTTCAGAATATTTATATTACGCTTCTGGAAAAAGCTCTTGAAAGAAAGTTTTTCGAAAGGAAAGCGAGGTGCAAAAATCAAAACTGTTAATGAGAAACATAAATGAATACCAAAATTTTGCAATTACAATTGGAATCTGTAATAAAAGTTTGAGTTTTAAAACTGCCTATACCTATATATAAAAACATTGTAAGGATTACTTATAGGTATTTATATTTTGAATAGTTCACAATTTAGAATCCTGATTAAAACAGGACCACAATCAAGTTCAAAATAGGTATAATTGACATTCAGTGAATATATATTTAGTCTTTTGTCGATACAAATTATTTCAACAAACGATTTAACTTGAAACAATAAAACGAATGTTTTTATAACATCTTGTTCTTTGACAACCGAAAGAATTTTTGGAATAGGATAGGGACTTTTTTTAGTATTAAAAATGTTACAAACAATAGATTGTTTTGAAATTAATTATGAGGCAATATTTGCGCCATATTTACAACGCAAGTACTTTATAAAATAAGATCGAAAAAATCGAGAGATAAATAAGTTCAATCTGGGTACAAATCCTTCGTGTTTAAAGGAAAAGAAAATCCCCAGGACATTAATTGTACTTATTAAAGGAAGTAACTTCCAGAGGGTATTTATACGGAAAACTTTTTTACTATCCACAATATAAAGGTTTAAAAAAGTCGATAGAATCAAATCATGTAAAATGAGTAAGGGTTTTTTTCGGCTATTATTAAACAATAGGACCCGAATTCGGAATAATTTTCAGACATAAAAGTACTTTGACATTAATATGATATTCTGGCTTCAGTATTTAGAGAACTACTTATTTTATCATATTACTCATTTTTATCCGAGTTAATACATTCCTTCTTTTATAAAATGTGTTTGCTTTTTTCCCCTACCTATAAAGCTATCGCATGAATGTAAAAAAGGAAACTTTTTCCCTTTTGCATGGTACAATGATAAAAATTTTAAAATTTTTGGAAAAATGTTTATTCAAACTCGTACATTTGGCGAAAACAGCCTTAAATGATAACGAGCATTTTTATCTCGTCAAACCTAATACAAACAAAGGAATATTTCACATAAATAGTTTACCGAGGTATTTTGTCTAATATTTTACTGTAGTTCATCTCTTCTGAGTAAAATTGCTGGTATTAATTTTACCACTACTGCCTTTCTTGATTTTGAACAACTCAATTAGCATTTTTGAAACTCAACATGAGCACAAATCCAAATGTTGGTATCCTATCTTATTTTCACAAAAACACTTAAAAACTAAGGAAGCACTTTAAAAGTGATATAATCTTAAAACGTCTGTTTTTCCCCAAATTCTTTCCTCAAATTTCTGCTCCAATTCATTAATATTAACGGAATTTATTCACTTCGTTCTTTATTAGGCCCATTTGTACGGCCATCATTTAATGTTATAAACCATTTTCTTATCTTTTTTTGTCTTCTAAATATATATTTCACTAATCTGCCAATCATTTTTTGACGTTTTCATTTAGGACACAAATGACAGC